AACCGAGATCTTTTGAAATTCAGTCGTTTGGAGGAAATGCAAATGAGAAATTAAGGTAATTTCGCATTTACCGTAATGTGATAGCCAAATGCACATTTGGGAGCATTTTCCTGCTGTTCCCATGGTTCTAGCGAGCATTCCTCTATCTGCGCATGTGCAAGAAGCTCATTTCTAGTACATTTACGGGCTTTTCTCGCTTGTGTGTGAACGTTAAATGCACTTACTGTAAATTTGCAATTAAGGTGGTTACGTGTGAAAGCCATTTGCGGAATCAAGATTTATTTTCCGTTTATTTTCGGCATGCCTCATTTCCACTTTATTTTCATTTTCTGGCCCACGTGTGATAACGTCCAGAGAGTTTGGTAATTGAGACATGCTTGTATTTCCGGTTTCATACTCACATTGTGTACAATTCACAATGAGATTCCACATTGTGAATAAATCCACACAGGTTTACGTCAACAACAGTTTCTTCTGCCTCTTTACTTTCAATTTTCCCCCTTCCTCTCTCCTCATAGGCAAAATTAAATCAACCAAAATAACTACACCACCCCCTACAACAACTCCTGGTGAGTAAATACAGGTATTAGTCCAGTTGGATTCCTAATATTGCCTTCTTTTCCTTATCCCATTCCAAACCCAAGGTGGTATGACTTGGGGCAGAAAGAGATATATAAAACTATGGAGATGTGCAGCTTCATATCTTTCAGACTTTTATGAAAAGAAATGGGGGCTCAGGACTGTGGAATAGGGGAGGTTTAAAAGGAAAACATACAGGGACTTATAGCAAGTCAAGCTGTCTTACTCTCATCAATTGTCCCAGAATAGATTACAACTCCCATCAGATTTATGTTGGCTAGGAATTATGGTAGTTTAACACATCTGGAGGGTACCAGGTTGGGAGACGCTGGCCAACACACACAGACTGGCATTGGTTCCCCACAGTTTCATATGTAGACCTGTCCCAGCCCAGTGTGGGGTAGTAGTTTGAGCACTGAACTATGATTCTGGAGACCAGGGTTCAATCAAATCCCTACCTGGCCATGGCAACCTAGTGGCTGACCTTGAAGGTTTGCCTTTGTGCCTTCCTCTGAAGCTGAGAGAATGTGACTTGCTCAAGATCACCCACTAGGTGGCCATGGCCAAGCAGGGATTTGAACTCTGGTCTCCAGAATCAGCAGTCCACTGTTAATGGGCTATAGTTTGTAGATATATTCCAATTCTCTTGTTTCTCTTTCCAGTCTTCCTTTGTAGTTTTTTTTTTCCAAAAAAAGGACCGCTGTTTTAAGATCTGAGATGGAATGCCCAGGAAGATGGAAGTGTTCCACAACTGGTTTTTGTGTATTCCCATTCCTAATGTCTGTTTTATGTCCATTTATCCTCTGGCACAGGGACGGGCCTGTTTGCCCAATGTAGAACGCTGAAAGGCATTGCTGACTTAGGAGACTATCACACTAGTTTATAAACCAGCTTACTTGAGCTGTATTAAAATTAGAAGCGGGCGGCATTCTGATATTATCAGACACATTTAGCTGCCGAAATTGCTGCCCGGCTGCAGCTCGGCTCCATCACTGATCCAAAGGGCACTCCTTGCACCTCTTTTCGAAACTGGGAGTTTTTTGGCTTGAAAAAAATAGCCACCAGAGCGCCCCTTGGAGCCAGGCTGCAGCAGGGTGGTGATTTCGGCAGCTAAATGTGTCAGGTAAGCTGGTTTATAAATTAGTGTGATAATCTTCATAGTAAGACATAAATTACATTGGAGGATGAGCAAGTGAAAGTCCCTCTAATATTGGATGTTATTGTACTTTGCTACCTCTCGATCTGTTGCCTGACAGAGTAACGGCACAGACTGCTTTGCTCAATCCCCCTCCTGTCTTTGACTAACACAGACCTGCACAACCTGGTAGTAGGAAGGGGCCAAAATTAAAATAGGCTAAGCTTTTTTGGGCTGCAGATAGGTTTTAATTAAATATTAATTAATTAATTAATATTAATATTAATTCCATCCTCCTCCTCCTCTGCCTGGCCCTCTCCGTAGGAGAAAGCCAAGCAGTGGAGAAGTCTTGCTCATCCTTCTCTTCCTCCAGCCAGACTTCTCTTTGAGAGAAGGCCGAGCAACAGAGGAGCCATGTGAACATTTGCTCCTCTTCTTCCTTTACTACACTCAAGAGAAAATCAGGTGGAGGAAGAGCCTTGTAGGATGAGTGTTTGCCCATCCTCCTCCTCCTCCACCCGACCTTCTCCTCGGGAGAAAACCGAGCAGCAGAGGAGCTTTGTAGAGGAGGGGTAGGCAACCTTTCCCCTTTAAGGGCCAAGGGACTTCAGCTCCCAGAATCCCAGGAGCTATTGGTCAACATGGGACTACTGGCCAACATGGCTGAGGCTTCTGGGAGCTGAAGTCCCTCAGCTTCTAAAGGGGAAAGGTTGCCTACCCCTGTTGTAGAGTGAGCATCCATCCTTTTTCTTCCTCCTCCACATGGCCCTCTCCTCAGAAGGCTGTGCAGTAGGAAAGCCCTAAAGTTGTTCCACATCTCATGAACCACCCAAAATACTTTGGCGGGCCGCATGCAGCCCCTGGGCCATATGTTGTGCAGGCCTGGACTAACATGATGGCTGAAGATTGCTTCCATGTCAGCAGAGCAGTGAAGCTGTGCTGGGCTTTAGTCCAAACTTTAAAAGACCAAGCCAACTTTCTGGCCCAGAGGGTCAGCACTTGGCCAACTCCATGAAGTGGTGTTGGGAGGCTTACTCAAGTGGTGATCCAGCCTTCTCCACCCAGTCTTCTCTAGATATGTTGGAATTCATCTCCCATCATGCCCAAGCAGCACAGCCAGAGTGTGGGGATCATGGGAGATCTGATCCAAGAAATCTGGAGGGTGCCATTTTGCAGACAACTACTCTAACCTCAGCCTTCATTTAATTGTCTTCTCAGATTGCTGCAGAGAACCTGGAGAAGTGACCGAGAACATTGTTGTTGCACTGTGCTTTGCAGACATTGATACAAATGCCACACAGGTCCAGAGAAGATGGGATACAAGAGCAGTGGAGCTGGGCTGCAACAACACCACTGATCTTTGTCATGAGTGCCAATCCAATGTATCTGTTAATACAACCTTTCCTCCATTGCCTAATTGCACCATCTCCATGTGCACAGGTATGTCAAGGCAAAGGCCAGGTCCCATAATCTCTGCTGGGGGAAAACCAAGTTGTGGAAGTAGAACACATTTTGCATTTAAAAAAACAACCCACTACTGAATATAGGACCCTTGCAGACTGCCAGAAATAGTGCACATTAAATTGAGGCACTGCCCTGGCTCAGTGCTAGGGAATCATGAGAATTGTATTTTTTTCTGGGACATTGAGCCTTCTCTGTTAGAGAGCTCTGGTGCCACAATAAATTACAGTTCCCATGATTCCCTAGCACTGAGCCACGGCAGTGCCTCAATTTCATGTGCACTATTTCTGGCAGTCTGCAAAGGCCTATAGTTAGCTCTCCACATTTAAGGGTTTTAAATGAGGTTGTGCTTTTATCTTTCTAAATATATTTTAATTGTTTCAATGGTCTGTTATTATTTTAACAAATTTTAAAGCTCTATCCTGTTTTTAATTGGTTGTAAGCTGCCTTGGATCCTGTAGGGAGAACAGGGAGATATAAATGGAATAATTAAATAAATATGGCAGTTCCAGAATTCTAAAATGTGGTTGAGTTTATGTAGATCCTCTATGGTCATTAATTTTGTTTCCTTTATGTTCAGAAGTAAGCCGGCCTTTGAACTTTCTTCTTTGACTTTTAAAAATAATTGTTCCGTGTCTGTAATGTTTTTTGCCAGTAATATGGTGTCATCTGCATATCTTGGATTGTTGATGTTCCTTCCTCCTGTCTTTACTCCTCCTCCTTCTGTATCCAAGCCTGCTCTTCGTATGCTATTTTCTGCATACAAGTTGAACAAGTATGGTGATAGATTACCGCCTTGTCTGACCTCTTTACCAATTGGGAACCATTCTGTTTCTCTGTGTTTTGCTCTAACAGTAGCCTCTATTTTTTAACTTTATTTTTATATACAAAATCCATCAAATAAAATATTTATACCAACATAAATGAAGATTACTTCCAATGTCCTTGTTCAGTATCATTCTGTATAATAAAGTCACTTTGTATAAATATCGTTGTCTTTGTCTTCCCTTCTTAACTACCTTTATTCTTTACCTATACACTTCCCTTTGTAATCTAGTATGCAAAATAAAAAAACCCAAACATTTCTAACTGTTACCATTTACGACTTCAAATTTCTAAAACACAAGGATTTCCCCCTTTTTCTTCTCCCTGGTTATAACTTGTACATTTCCTTATTTTGACTAAAAATATAATCATAATCATTCCCTTTTTAAAATGACTATTTATCACCATTTCTTTTTGCAGTAATTAATTATCAGTTTCCACTCATTTCCTTTTTGCTTTGCCTCTGTTGAAGTAGGAACTGGTTTTCCCATGGGGACACACACAACGCTGTCTGGTTTCTGATTCCGCCATTCTTTTTCTGTGCAGAACCAAGCTCTATAAAGAAGATAACTTTTGGGACACAGACCAACAGTTCCATCATTCTTCACTGGCAAACTACGCTTGATTGTTGCCATATGGCTACCAGCAGCAGCCCTACAACAGTAGCTGATGACAGTTGGAGGAATGGGACAACACACATTTCAAGGCTGTTACCTGGACAAGACTATGACATGACTGTATACAGAAGTCTGGATGGAAGGTGTAGCCAAGGGTACTCCATCAACATGACCACCAGTGAGTCTCCCTGTCGTCATCTGCTGGCAGAAGCAGAAACAGCAAGCTTGTTGTGTGCCTTCAAGTCCTTTCTGACTTCTTGTGACCCAAAGGCAAACCTATCATGGGGTTTTCTTGGCAAGATTTATTCAGAGGAGGTTTGCCATTGCTTTCCCCTGAGGATGTAAGCATGTGACTTGCCCTAGGTCACCCAGTGGGTTTCATGGCCAAGCAGTGAATCGAACCCAAGTCTCCAAATTCATAGTCCAACACTCAAACCACTATGCCATACTTGACTCTCAGAAAAAATGTACCTAAAAGGCATTAGATGTTGGTTGAAAGGGGAACAGAGCAGTCATTCCCCTTCTCAAGTATTAGAATCTGGAAAGTTATGTTTTTAAAAAGTATCTGGCTCTAGTTCTGAGCCCCCAGAGTAGTTAGTTACATTATAGTTAGTTGCATGATAAAAGGTAACTCTTTGCTTTCCCATTCATCAAAAGTGACTAGATGGCTACTTTAAGGGGGTGAAGTCTGAATGTTACGAGGTGGTAGCCTGTGATACAAAGCAACTGTAGTCACCTACTTCATTATTGACCCAAGAGCATGTGATCTTCCTCCTCCACCATTTATAGAATCATAGAATCATAGAATCATAGAGTTGGAAGAGACCACAAGGGCCATCCAGTCCAACCCCCTGCCATGCAGGAATTCCCAATCAAAGCATCCCTGACAGATGTCCATCCAGCCTCTGCTTAAAGACCTCCAAGGAAGGAGACTCTACCACTCTCCGAGGGAGTGTGTTCCACTCTCGAACCGCCCTTACTGTTAGGAAGTTCCTCCTAATGTTGAGGTGGAATCTCTTTTCTTGCAGCTTGCATCCATTGTTTCGGGTCCTAGTCTCTGGAGCAGCAGAAAACAAGCTTGGAAGCCGCACCCCTGTAACTATAAAAATAACTAAAGCATTACTGTTACTCTGCAAAAGGAGTGACATTATCCCTCATTTATATGCAAACATAAGGCAAAAGTTATGTTTTTGTTACTGGAAAAAGGAACTACGTAATTGCAATGAACTCATTTATTGTGACTAATTACCAGTGGCAGCTGGTAGCTTTCGTGTCGGTTGGTTGATGCATCCATTTAGGTTTTAGTCCAAACTTGAAAGGAGCTATCCAAGCTGCTGAATCGATTTTGAGCAATTGCGTCCAGTACCTTGGGTGGCCCTTTTAAAGTGTGGACAAAAACCTGGAGTGGATCCACTGTCCTACTGGCATGGAAATACCAGCCATCATCAGAGATCTCAGGGCTGTTTTTAAGGCTGGAGTACTCAGCATTGGTAGGTAGGTTGTTGTTAATTTTGCCTACTTGCAGTCAAATTAATTTCCCTTATCCATCCATTATCGCTGAAGCATACTTAAATAGGAAGACTCCTATGAGCATAATGTATTCTTAGAAAAACTCTCCATGTTTTTGATGTAGCTTACTCCCAAGTAAACATGCATAGCATAATGGCAGGCAGCTTTTATTGCTCCTGCAAGTGTCAATGACAATTGTTGTGTGCCTTCAAGTCATTTCTGACTTATGGCAATCCTGTCATGGGGTTTTCTTGACAAATTTTGCCTTCCCTTGAGGCTAAAGGGGTATGACTTGCCCAGGGTCACTCAGTTGGTTTCATGTGGCTTGGCTGTTGAAGGAGAAGGGACTGAAAATCAGAAGGGAAGGGAATGGAGTGTTTTGGTACAGACAGTTTAGCACCTTGGATAACACTTTGAAAATATCGGAGACTACATTGTACTTCCTCAGATGCATCTGGGCATTTGAGGAAGTACAATGAAGTCTATAAAAGCTCATGCTGCCAACTTCTTTCTTTCAGTTATTCTCAAAGGTGCTGCAAGATCTCTCTACATCCTAATCTTTTCACTGCACTCACAATACTAAAAAGCAACTGCTTGTAGATCTGTTCCCTGACAGCTTGGTTTTTCCTTTGAATCTCAGTGCCTTCTCCAGTCCCGGAAGTCACAATAAGGAATCAAACTGTGGATTCTCTGGAGATTGAATGGACCCAGCCTGGGGATGCTCATGTTGCCACATACATGTACAGGATTTGCCTCTCCAAGTGCACAAATGTCTCTCAAAGCCCACACATTGTGAAGGACCTGAAAGCAGGAGTTACATACACTGTTGTGGTCTATGTCGTCACCAAGAACAACATCAACAGCACAGAGAAGGCCATAAATGCCACTACAGGTAGGATGAAGTTAATCCTGTGTGATAGGGAGGGAGAAGGGGTTGCCAGGACTGGGACGTTCCCACCAGCAAAATTTATTCATGTGTATTAAAATCCCTCTATTACGGCTTGATTCCTTTTGGGGACTACAACTCCCAGAATTCTCCCAGCTGCCATAGTATTACTTAGCAAGGTGCATACCAGCACTGGACATGGGAAAATACTGCATGCACCTTGCTAAGTGAAAAAAGCTTCTCCACCACAGACTATCCCTGAAACAATGTCTTTGCCTGCTGCTTTTCTCTGTCCTTTTGGCAACAAACCTGAGAATATCTCCTCTCAGGTCCCACTTGGAACGGTCCAAGGTCCTCCAACTCCTTCTGAACTACTTTTGAATGATGAACTCTTTGCTTTCCTTCTCTTCTCCCTGTGCCAGCCCTGCCAGGAACCAAAGAGTGAATGGGAAAAGGTACAGATCAGGAGTCATCCCCACACAGCCTATGTATGGGCTTCAGGCAGACTTTGGAGCTCTCAAGACCTTCCCTCTCAATAGAAACATAAAACCACACCAAATTCATCAGCAAATAGTGCTGCAGAAGTATGGCAACAAACCAGCAAAGTCCTATTCAAAGCAAATATTTTTTGCTTTCTTTAATGTAGTGGTTTGAGAGTTGGACTACACTTCTGGAGACCAGAGTTTCAATTCCCACTCAGCCATGGAAACCCACTGCGTGACCTTGGGCAAGTTATAATCTCTCAGCCTCAGTGGAACAGAATCACAGAGTTGGAAGAAACCACAAAGGCCACCTAGTCTAACCCCCTGCCATGCAGGAATACACAATCAAAGCATTCCCAACAGATGGCCATTCAGCCTGTTTAAAAACCTCCAAAGAAGGAGACTGTGCCATACTCTAAGGCAGCATATTCCACGGTCAAATAACTCTCACTGCCAGGAAGTTCTTCCTAATGTTTTGATGGAATATCATGTCTGAATACTTTACTCCATGTCCTAGTCTCTGGAGCAGCAGAAAACAAGCTTCCTCCATCCTCAATATGACATCCCTTCAAATATTTAAGCATGGCTATCATGTCAGCCCTTAACCTTCTCTTCTCCAGGCTAAACAGACCCGGCTCCCTAAGCTGCTTCTCATAGGGCCTGGTTTCCAGACCTTTCACCATTGTGGTCACCCTCCTCTGCACATGCTCCAGCTTGTCAATATCCCTCTTGAATTGTGATGCCCAGAACTGGACACAGTATTCCAGGTGAGGAATGCCTGGAGGGTGAAGGCAAAAACCCCTTTGAACAAATCTTGCCAAGAAAACTCTGTGATAGGTTCACCTTAGGGTTGCCAAAAGTCAGAAATGACTTGAAGGCACATAACAACAACAACAATTAGATGACTCATAGTGGTTTGCTGCTAGATTCTGGTGATAAACTGTGGAAGCCCTATTTAAAGAAAACATTTCAATCTGCCAGAGAGATTCAGCTGCACAATTTGCTGTTGTACTTCAGCTGCATAGCAACAGTGGGGAACCATAGGACGTTATCACACGTGGGCCAGAAAGCGATAATAAAGTGGAAATGAGGCATTCCGAAAATAAACGGAAAATAAACCTTGATTCTGTAAATGGCTTTCACACGCAATTACCTTAATTGTGAAATTAAAGTAAGTGCATTTAACGTTCACACACAAGTGAGAAAAGCCCGTAAATGAACTAGAAATGAGCTTCTTGCACATGCGCAGATAGAGGAATGCTCACTGGAACCATGGGAACAGCAGGGAAATGCTCCCAAATGCACATTTGCTTTTCACATTACGGTAAATGCGAAATTACCTTAATTGCGCATTTGCATTTCCTCCAAACAACCGAATTTCAAAAGATCTCAGTTAACACAAGTTTCTATCCACTTTCTGTCCAGTTTCTGTGCATCGTCGTGTGAAAACGTAAGGCACAAATCCAGTTTCTGTTTGGGATTTGTGTGGATTAACCAGCAGATTTGCCCCCGTGTGATAACGTCCATAGTTCACATTGTATACCTTCAGAGGGCAAAATTGGCCCACCATAGCTACCAATGAGGTTTCCCACCCAACAGATAAACAAAGCATGCATTATCTTGTGACCTTTCAGTGGAGTAATTCCACACATTTGGTTGCCAGTCATTAAGGGATACCCATGTGTGCATTAAAATACACACACATACCTTTCTTACTGGCAAACGTATGTCTGAATTGCATCAATTGAAAAAACAAACAATGGGATTGAAATTATGTCTCTATTTTGTCTTTGTGTCCTAATCTTTGATGGCACACTCACACGTGTGAGACATTGCCTACAGTTGCTGCAGTCTGGTGATTGTTGTTGCTGTGTGCCTTCAAGTCATTTCTGATATGGTGACCCTAGGATAGACCTATCATGAGGTTTTCTTGGCAAGATTTGTTCAGAGGAGGTTTGCCATTGCCTTCCCCTGAGGCTAAGAGAGTGTGACTTGCTGAAGATCACCCAATGGGTTTCATGGCCAAGGTGAGATTCAAACCCTTGTCTCTAGAGTCATAGTCTAAGGAGTTTATCACATGGAGGCACACAGAGAGAAATCCTGTGCAGAAATGGGATTTTAAAATCCATTAAACACCTGCGAATGTGGGTTGTTTTCCAGACGCTTTAGCAGAAAGAGAAATAACGTGAAAATAACCCAAACAGAAAGTTGACAAAAACCATTCCTTTCCACTTTTAGAATTTCCTGAAAGTAAAAAGGAGCAGGTTTTGTCAGCTTTCCGTTCAGGTTATTTTCAAGTTATTTCTCTTTCATGCAGACGTAGTCTGAAAAACAACCTGTATTTGGGGTTTTTTTCTACTTTCTGTTCGCGTTAACCCCGAGCGTCGTGTGAAAAACAACTTGCAAAAGCGGGTTGTTTTCACTTTAAATCTAGCTTCTGCATGGGATTCATCCCATGTGATAAACTCCTAACACTCAAACCACTAGGTGGTCATCATACATATGTGAAATAAAGGACTTCTTGGCTTCAGTGAATACTACTGAAGTGTGTTCACATGCTGTGTAACCTTCCTGTG